ATTCCGTGTCGTGCTCGCAGGTCCTCTAAGAATTCGAGCGTCTTCGCTGTTGTGGTGCACATCGTTTTGTAAACCTCGGGCCATCTGCTGTTAGCGTCGACGACGACCAAGTAGTAGAAGTTGTTAATGGGACCGGCAAAATCGATGTGGATGCGTTTCCATGGTCCGCTCGGTTGTGGCCATGCTCGGAGTGTGCATTTGATTTGCGATTTTGAAACAACAGCGCATTCTTCGCAATGCCTGACGAAGTTCTCGATGTCTCGAGCGATGCCATGCCAGAAGAGTTGACTGCGAGCGAGCAGTTGCATGCGTGATATTCCTGGGTGGCCGTTGTGGAGCTCTTGAAGAATTTTCTCGCGATCTTGCTGTGGAATAAAGATTCTGTCTCGTGCAAAAATGCAATCCTCGATGATTATCAACTCGTCTCGTTGGTCAAAGAATGCTGCGACTTCTGGATTGATGATCTGACATCGTTTCATGGGCCAGCCGTTGCGTGTGTATTGAATCACTTGTTGAAGTGCCTGGTTGTCACGTGTTGCTCGCTGGATGTCGTTGAAGTTCACTGGAAGCTGTTTTGCTGTGTCGATGGCAAAACATGATAACGAATCGTCATTGCAGATAGCTGCAATGACTGTGTCCTCTTCCGGCTTCGAGTGCGATGCGATGAGACGAGAGATAAAGTCTGCGTAGCCAAAGCTCTCGGTGCCCACGTAGCGAATCTTGAAGTCGTAAGCGAGAAGTGTGAGGGCGTAGCGTTGCAGTCGGCTTGCTGTGTGGACCGGAATGCCATTTTTCGAGCCGAAGATTGCGAGGAGTGGCTTGTGGTCGGTCTGGAGCTCGAAATGTCTGCCGTAGATATACTTGTGGAATTTCTTGACAGCAAAAGTGAGCGCCAAAACTTCGCGCTGGACCTGTGGGTAGCCTCGCTCGGCCGAGTGAAGTTGCTGCGTAAAAGATCGGATGAAGTGTTCCGTCTTGAAATTCGTGCATCAAGACAGCACCAATTCCGTAGCTTGAAGCATCGGCTGCGACTACAATTTTCTTTTTCGGGTCGTAATGCGTAAGGACCAGGTCAGACATCAGCAGTTCCCGAAGTTGTTGGAACGCTCGTTCTT